ATTTATCACCCTGCCCCTCTCACATCCCTCTATTTTCCTACAACCAGTTCCTTCAGTGTATCTAACAAACTGTTCCTTGATAATATAATTCACTCTGCAGAGAACCTTTGAAGATACCAGGATGCCTAGTAAACGATTTAGTAAGGGCAGATTTCTAAGCACTTATTTCTACTGTACCAAGGGTATTTTTACATATTAAATACATAGAATATTTATATACTAAATATACAGTAGAGAGGATTCTTTTAAGTTCCTCTTAAGAGCAGTTCTTCTTCCTGTGTTCTTGAATATCATACAAGACTTGGAACATTCCCTTCTTTCATTAATAACTGTAATCTAGCCTGACAGTCCAGGTAATTCTCCATATCCAGCCACTTCTCACAAATTCCACCTTTCCTCTCTAATATAAGCAGCCATGAGATTTTGCCTCAGAGTCCTACTGTCAAAAACTCTGATCAGCAGCCTGATCCTTGCAAAATATGCCAGTTTTTACCACCCACTTCCAAAACCATTTTCAGCTCCATCTCTTTCAAGATAAAACCGATGGTGGCAACAGAGTTCTGTACCATCTGACCCCAGTCTTTCTCTTGTCTCATTCATCTCCTCCCAGCCTGCCCCAGGCAATGGCATCCCATTGACAGAAATATGCATTTGTTCCTCTGCTTTCTCATCTTGCCTTTAGATCTTCAGCCATCACCCCTTCAGCTCACATTGGTTCACTCGGTTTATGCAAACTTTATCCTAAGAGGCATTCGTTGACAAGGGGATTTAATATGCCAACACCAATCATTTTCCTTTTCTTTTCTCCCTTACTCTGGCTTTGTTGATAGTGCCTATTGTTGTCTCCTATATTAATATATTTGCTAATTAGTTTTTCCCCTACATATCTTGGCAAAATATTAACTGTAATAAAAAGATGAAATTATTGACTTCATTACATGGTGCCTCTCTCATCACCGATCTATTTAAAGACCTTATGGTGAAGGGCAGATAGAGATGGCAGAATCCCTTGCCAAAATAAAACTGAGTAAGTGTCCTCCAGAAGACACAGATCTCACAGTCCCTTTTGCAGGGCATAACATCAAGGCCCTAAGGACCTCCAGATAAGAATTACCTGATAATGGCCCACACTTTAAAGATCAAATTTCCCAACATATAATCTTCTTGGGATCACAAACCATATTTAAACTACAGAACGAGCATCCCCTGAGATTTTTGGAGTCTGTCATTTCTGAAAATATTTTTCCAAAATATTAGTCACAATTTTAGTTCAGAGATATGCTAATGAGCCTTATTACAATGTGAACAAATGTAGGGCTGATGGAATGTTTCAACAACATGGGCCGCTGAAAATTCACACAGAGACGTGGAGCTAAAGATGTCAGCTTGCAAGAGCTAATGGAGTCTGTGCCACTCAACAGAACCTGTGTCATTTAACCACTAGCTGGGCTCTGAGGATGCTAGGCATAGGAAAAGGAAACACTAGTATGTTTCATACCATGGCAAACCCCTAAACTTGACCAGTCTTATATAAAGGAAGAAATCACTTAAAGACTACACATTCTTTAAAGGAAAAAGACTGTGTAGGTAGAGTCTCATCTCACCATGCCATTTGTTTAATAGAGATATCTGTCCGGTTTAGTAAAGTGGCATTTATACATTCTCCTTCAAGATCCATGACTTCACCAAACTGGATAATTGGCTAGGTTTCCAGTACCTGGCATTATTTCCCTTGTGGTGAGAAGGTCTTGAGTCTAATTAGAGGGCTGTTGGTTACTGACTGGCAAGACATGTGTGCCACTACAGCATCTTTGGAGTTATCATGCCGTGATAGACATAATTGTATTCATAGGTTTCAGAGCAAGGTAGGACAGTTGATTGTTTCTGCCCTTTAGAAGTTTGCCTGGCACCTTCTAGTACCATGAGAGCTAGGCTTCACAAGAAGGTTTTCAGCTTAGAGCCAGTACAGAGACAGCCAAAGAATGCCAATGGCAGAAGAAATAGTCTTCCCCAGGGAAAAGCATAGTTGGTAATACAGTATCAAATGGTCATCCCTGAAAACATATACATATGTGCAACATTATACAGATTGAGCAGGTTGTTTTTTATGGTTTTAGGAAAATATTAAATTTTGTAAGATAAATAAAATGTAAACAATATCACACACCCATAAATATGTGTATCAGAAATTTAAAAAGAGAGACCATGAATTTGAAAAAGAGCAAGGGGATATATGGAAAGGTTTTGATGAGAAAGGAGAAGGGGTAAGTGATACAATTATGTCATAGTGTCAAAAAATATTTTTCAAAAATTAAAGAGAGAGATCATAGATAAATTCTTGGCAGAATATTCCCTCCCCTATAGATTTCAATTAATATGTCACAGTTCCCGATACCTATTTTAGATCAGTAGGCAATTTTACAAAGTAAAAAGGAAGAATTATATTCTATGATATGAGTGCATTATCTTCAATCAATCCCATGCATCTCTACTGGGACCTTTGAAATCGCTTACGCTCTACACGTGTTGAGTGGAATTTGACAAAGATATCAGGTCTAAGATCCAGAGAACATCTTGTTTCCAATGTGGTAACACTTTTGTCTTAGTATTTTGTGTCCTCAAAATTCATCAGACTTTTTTAAAGGCTAGCAATGTCAGAGAATGAATGAATAAATCCTTGATGTCCTACTGGGTCCACAGTCAGCTAAGAGAACATCTTGGCCACAGCTGTTCAAGGAGTTCTAGTTGAGACACCAGGAACCCTTCAGAAGACAGAATAATGAAGAGAAAATTTTGTTGTTAACTTGGAGATTTGAAAGCTTGGTTGTTTGGGACTCATTTGCAAAGTAAGATAATGATTGCACAATTTAACTCCTTTGAAGCTCAGCTTGTTTTGACTTAGCTTAACATGCAAGATTATTTACAGTTCAGTTTTTCTCTAATGACTTAATAGAAGAGGTGCTGTATTCAAATGAGGGGTTTCTCTACATTATCATTCTATGATTACTGAAGTATGCTTGCTCATTCTATTATTGGCTACTGAATGTGGTAGTTGTTATTTTTACTGCAAAAATAGGCTCTGTTAAATGATATGACAGACATGGTTGATATTGTAAAAAAGAAAGGGGAGTTATTCTCCAGGTTTGGAAACAAACTAATCTCAGAACTGATTTAATTAACAGTTTACATCCATTTTGCAAGCTGAAAGCCCAGCAGTATAACACAAGCATATGGTGAGGAGTCTTTTGGGTACTTTGCCCTGTGACATTGATAATAATGGTAGGTGCACATCTGGAAACAAGTTGGAGATCTGGGTCCTACTACACTTCCTGAAGGCATGCTTCCAGTGACTCATGGGTATTTCACTGCATCCAGCTTTTAAAAGGTCTATACCATCAGTCAATGTTGCCCCTCAGGGAATCAAGTTGCCTACACATGGATCTTGGGTGGGAGACAAGTCATCTTCAAGCCATGGTACCACATTGGTAGATAGCAGGGAATATTATAGTTTCATAGGAATGGTTTTATACAATGGGATGTGATAGGAGATGTTTTTGGTATAGTGGTCTTGTTTTATATCCTGAAGACTCAATTACTGTGGAGTCTAGTACTAATTTCTGTTTTACTTTATCGCGCATGTCTCAGTATGAGTTGTTCAGTTTAGGAGAATTTTGAATGAAATTCTTGAATGAGAAGTATATAACTCACTTTGTCCTTCCTTCTCCTTTGGTGCTAACTGTGGAAGGAAGTGTGTCATTGTGCCCTGCTTGTCCATGTAGAAAATTTGAAGGGAAAGTCCACACAGCACAGACTCATAGAGTTCAGTATAATGTGTTCACAATCTCACAGCAGTGCCTAATTTTTGTAAAGACCCTTGTCCATAGATGTATGTTATATTCTCTCGTATTAATTTTGTCTACAACAGAGTACTGGCAGATTATTTGGCCTTTGGAAAGACCTTTGTTCCTTCTAGCCTGAATTTGAAGAAAGAAAAAAAAACATAATTAAATAATTGTTCCCCAAATGATAGAGGGCAGTTAGGTACTTTTTGGTTAAAAAAAGAAAATGAGTACCTTTGTCACTTCTCAGAGCATGTCATTTAGTGTAGTGGGAAAGAAACAGAATGTCACTCATATGATTGTTAGAGTCTAAAAATACATTTTCACAAGGAAATACAAATGGTCTCAATTTGAGGGAATGAATGACTAGGAATACCCAAAGTGACTGATTAAAATGCTGTGGAAATTCTTCAGCCGTGCTTTGGGGATCTTTAACTCTTTCCTGAAGCCCTGGGACTACTCTGCCTTCAGTAGGCTGTGAGAGCCGCATGTGCTCCCTCCCACTTTGTCACCGAATGTCTGCCTTTTGCATTTCCACACACAGGGCAACATGGACTTTCCCATTCACCCCGGTCTCATGCTGAGCATTGCCAACCAAACACGCCCAACCCTTAAGGCTCAGAAAGCAGGCAAAAACCAACTTGCCAGGAATTAGATTTGAGTTAATCAGGCCCAAATAAATGGATTGATTTCCCTCCCCAGCTGGAGCAATTTCATAGGTCTTGGAAATGAACAAGTACACTAAACCTATTGGGCCTCTAGTTCGGAAAATTTCTCCCAAGAGAGAAGGTTGTAGGGACTAGGGCACCTGCCTTCAAGTGTTTTTGAAGAAGAGTGTGGAAGCCTCTTCTTTAAAGAGGGTCCTGAAGGCAATGGACGAAGGAATGGGTGGAAATCACAGGTGGGACTATGCCAGTGTTCTTTATAATAGCAATCAGAGCCATTCTGTCTTGGGAACAATAAGCTGGGCCACCTCATGTTGCTGAGATTCAGATGTTTCCCACTTAGGTTGAAGACTCCTACCACACCCAGTTGAAACCCCAAGAACTTGGGATTCTGTGAGCTTTTACCCACATAAGGAGACACAAGGCACTTTGCATTCAATTTTTTGAAAGAAAAAAATTTAATATATTTTATCTTATTATACATTTCCCCTAAATTACAAAGTCGACAGCTGCAAATATATTCTGCTACAAAGCTTTCTGTAAGAAACATCTCTATAAGAAAATACATCTCATTAACATTTCCTGTAAATAAATTATTTCAAATAATCATTCTTGAGGGGGTGGATATAAGGGAAGTAATGTGGAAATTAGATTGTAGGTATCATTCCTATGTAGGAAATTGTGACCAAACTGTGCCGTTTTCACATCACCGAGCTCATACAACAAACGTTGGCTTTTGGATGAATTAGCTTATGATTTTTTGCACACATGTGGACACAGTCCATCATCATCCTGGCAAAATGCATGCTGGAAGTTCAAACTCCTAAGGGGCTGTACGAGATTGCGTGTGGGATTTAAGTAAAACAAGAAAGTGGTGTGATTCTGTAAGATCTGGCGATGGCTTGGTAACCTCTTTTTGTCTCTTACGCTCTAGACATAATATTTAGAACTGTGTTATATTAGGAAGTAGTAAAGAATTTCTATAGATTAGAGATATGTTGATTTCACTTGTCAATACTTTTTTTTTAACTCTCAATAGTTGCAGAAAACAGAAACTATGTCTTTGGCAGTGAAATTCCACTGAGAGGCTAGTACAGAAATTCCCAAAGATATCATCAGTCCAAAGCTTAGGGAGGACATTGGTTCCTCTTGTACCAGCTGGCTTAAGAGAACCCACTCTTAAAGATCCCCTCATATTTGATTATTTTACACCCCCCAAACTATGAAATATTTTGAGGCGAGGGAGGGCAAGTTGCACTGCACCGAGCTCTTCTGCATGGTAAATATCATGAGAAGAACAAACCCTCTGGAGAGCTTGAAGCTCCCTTGTGGAGCCCCTGGGGTCAGCCATGAAAAATAAGCCTGTGCTTCAGACACGTGATCTTAGAGCCTGGACAAATGATGAGGTTTCCTCTACTTCCCTGCTGGGCTCCACTCAGTATAGCTGTCACTCCAATCTCTAGTGTCAGCTTCACCCTACCGGTCTCCAGCTACGCAAAGATGAATGTATTAGCAGATCTGCTCTATCACATACAGCACATGTCAAAGCTTTGGCCAAACGGTGCTCACTCCATTTTTCAGCTCCCCACATGTGTTGGACATCTTTAAAGGTTTTGCAATCTGTGAAAGCTCTGCCCTGTGCTTGCACTACACAATGACTAGCTCTAGCTTAGGTAGGCCTCTCATTTGAGATACAGTGGCATTCCTTCACCATGCAGGGTTTGCTTTTGTCTTACAGCGGTCTTTAATAATTCAGGAGAAGAAATGAATAGTGTGGGGAGACACATATTTATCTTTTTCAGATGTTGAAAAGACATGCCGGTACCTTGAAGCGATATGGAAAATATTAACAGCCTTCTTCTCTCGCCTACCAAGGCCTTTATGTGAGAAGTTGAAGCTGCATTCCAAAGACAAAGGTGATTTTTTTGGGGGGGGGATGTAAATTAACAATGCTCCATGCTTTTGCTTCCTATTTATCATCTTCCCCATGTTTTAGAGATTGTCTTATGCCAATGGACAGTGAGACTAATTTATTAAACCATTACTTTGAGCAGAAATAGGGCTTTAGGTTATTTTTATAGTCATTGCCAATCTGAAGGAACTGTTCCCTCTAACTCAAGCCAAACTCTTGGAAAATCACACAGTATTTGTCAGTAATTTCCACGGTGTGCTTTCTTTTAATATTAGCATTTTCACAAAAGTGTACATTATTTACATAAAGAAGTTGCATAATGGAAACACTGGTTGTGCTTTAGTTGTCACTGTCTCTACGTCATTCAGTCCCACTGCTCTCCTGTGCTCCAAATCCCCATCACGTTCCGTGTTCTTCCGCGCTCCAAACTGGATGTTCCATCATGCCATAATGCATGAAATACACAAATTCACAGTCTGCTAGTGATAACTCTCCCAGTGTTTGTCAGATCTTCTGGCACACGTGGAGTCTGGCTTTGGAGGAGTAGGTAGCATCTTTCCAAACTTTGCAGGACAGGCCCTTTGCACAGTCACACCTCTGGAAAATCTCCAGCCCATGGGAACCTTTCTTGCGCTGTTTGGTACAAACTTCCCCCTGATGGAGAACTGGTTTGCAGATTTTGGTCCAGAAGTGGCGAGCACAGCAAAATCCATCAATGCAGTCTGATGATCGCAGACAGGGGTCACCTTCATGTCCTACAAAAAAAAAATGAATAAAAAGGGTTATGGGATGCTTGAGAGAAATTTCGACTTTATAATCAGCATTTAATGAACAGCTAGACTATTCACCTTCAATGTGTCTTAGTCTACTTTTTCCTGTTTCTCTCTGTGTGTGTTTATTTGTGTAGTGTACATATAGGCATGCTTTTTACTTGCATGTGAGGGCATGTGAAGGAAGGTATGCAAGAACATGTGTACATGTGAACATGAAGGACCCAAGGAGATGCTGGGAATCATCTTCCATCACTCTCCCACCTATAGCTAGCTGATAAGGCTAGATTTGCCAACCAGCTTGTTGGGAGGATTTCCTATTTCAGTGTCCTGAGACTGAACTCACAGACAAGCTGCCATGTCCCACGCCACATTTATAAATTTTCTGGAGATTGGAACTCCTCTTCTCATGTTTGCATAGCAAGCAATTTAATCATGGAGACAACTTCCTAGTCTGTAGTCTAACTTTAGATATTTTCCTGATGATTTTCCCCCTGTAGGATGAATTGGGAGGGGGGAAGGTTGGCTTCAAGCTAATTAACTTGATGCCTTTTCAACAGGTCTCAACAAAGCTGTAAATCAAGAGAGCAGAAATTTTCAGGGACTCTTGACATCATTTATCAGTTGAGTCCAGCTGTGAAAGCAGAACCATTCACACCGGTTATTTAATGCAGAGAATTGATCGCATGTGCGGTGGTTGAATTATAAAAGGTGGATCAGCTGCAGGAATTTACTACCACGTTTAGGCCAAGAGACCCCCAAGGATAGGTGATGTCAGTATCCAGAGGCTAGATTCACTAACTAGAACCTAATGGCCCCACCTGGAAGCAACTAGAGATTGGAGGAAACACAGTTACACCAGAATACCAGTGGAAGCAGCGAGAGTAGTAAATGGTGTAAACCCAGCCAATGCATCTGACAAGGAGTGGTAGGAATACAGCCTACCAGAAGCTGTGAGACAGAACAGAGCAGAGAGATGACGGTCAGCTGTCAGAGCCACCAGGCTCAGGAGCAACCAAGAACTTTCTCAAAAACCTGTGAAATTACAAATCTGGGTAGTGTGTGCACACACGGAAGGATTAAGTCACCAAATAACACTCTCCCACACACATCCTGGCTGCATTCATCTGTGTTTCGGTGTAAGGCAGGAGTAGTCAAACTTCTGTGTTACATGTCTGACTACAAATCTGTAACAGCTCCTCAGTTTTGCTGTCCTGTAAAACTCATCCGTAGAAAAGACCTATATGAACGGGTAAGTCTGTGGTTTTATGAGTCATTATTTAGAAAATCTGGTGATGCAGATTAGGCTCAAAGTTCATCATGTGGCTACTTGTGGTCTAAAGGATTCTCTAGCATCCTAGACATAACGACTTCAACTGCAAAATTTTGGTGTAACTCAGTAGTCATACAACACAAGATCTCTTTATGTTTGCACTCAGTACATTTCAAATGTAGTCGAACTGAAATAATTGGTAGATTTTAAATAGTGCTATGACTTAGGAATCTTCTGGAATGAGGAAAGACACACATAATGGCAATTATATAGGAATTGGTTGAAATTTGTTGAAAGTACTGGAAATAATAAGAGATAGAAAATAATTAAGGATCTTGGTAGATAAAGCAAAATGATGAGAAAATTATTTGCCAACATCTTTAGCATCATACACACGACTACTAGCAGTCCAAGGTGCACCAATGGGCCAGTTAGTTCTCCGAGACTGACTCTTTAGAAGATGAAAATGTGGGTTTTATGGTGAGACAAGCTATGGAAATAACGTGTTTAGAATAGGAAGCTACTTTTATGCATCATGAATTCCCAGAGAACTCCCAGAGAGTTCATCAAAAATTCCCCCAAACAGGGAGATGCTCTATTGTAAATTTTTTAGACCACTATGTATTTTTAATCACATACATCTTGAAAGAGGAGCACTTCACAGATCACATGGAATAAGTCTCTTTTGAGTATAAATGTGTTTTATGTTTTCAAATTTTTCCTATTAATAAAATATTTTCACACTCTTCAGGTTTGTTGGTGGTCAGCTGGTGGGAGAAGAGGACTTTATAGCGATGTATAACCCCATATACGGGCTGTTTCTCATAGACTGGTTATGGATTAATTGATTATATCTCATAGATAATGGTTATCTGATTGCTTAGTAATATCAACTTCCTGGATCTACAACGGTGAGAAAAAATGGGCATGAATTTCATCGTCAGCATCTAAATTTCCTCATGCATTTTCCACAACGCTTTATTCTCGGATAGGTTTGGACCATACAGGTTTTCTTGGAATATTTCTGCTCAGTTTTCACATGAAAACTTAGAAAACAACATGGCAGGTCAGGCTATTGCCTTTCTCATAACATATACTTTGCAATAATTCCATGAACTCTCTAACATTTCCAAAATTAAAAATCAGTAAACTCAGTTTAAAATTGCCCATTAATGAACATTTCATTAATGGATTCATAGAACCAGAATGAATTAACTATGTTTGTCTCGTGTTGGAGAGAAAATTGCCCCCAGTGGAGTGGCACTATTAGGAAGTGTGATCTTATTGCAGTAGGTGTAAGTCTTGTTGGAGGAAGTGTGTCACTGTGGAGGTGAACTTTTAGGTCTCATATATGCTCAAGATACCACCCAGTGTTAGGCCACTTCCTGTTGCCTGTGAATCAAGATGTAACAACTCTCAGCTCCTTTTCCAGCACCATTTTCGCTGGCATGCTTGCATGGTGCCTTGCTTCCCACCATACTGACAATGGACTAAACATCTGAACTGTAAGCGAGCCACCACAATTGAATGTTTTCCTTTATAAGAGTTGCCATGGTCAATGTTGTCTCTTCACAGCAATAGAAACCCTGAGACTCTATTTTTTTTTACTTTTTTTATAGAAGAAATAAAGAGTAAACAAACATGGAAATATAGGTAGTCGTACCTTTTATATGCGACATCTTGGTGTGTGGCCTTCCTAGATTCTGCCATCCCAGGTCATGGTTGGAATAGTGACCATGGTTCCGATCTCTATGCCGAGTGCCATCCAGAGCTGGAATATGAGGGGTCAGGATGCTCTCAGTGACCGGGATGCAGATGCCTGGAAATGAGGGTGTAAACAGACCACTTTTATTCTAACCTGTGATGTTCATCTTGAGCTGTGTTTGAAGACATTTATGTGTCTATTTCTTATGCTACCTATTGTGTTTCTATTTTCTTATCCATTAATTAATTCATTCATTCATTCAATCATTCATTCATTCACTTACTTATTGAGGGTAGATTACTCTGGGTCTGGAACCAAGCTTCCTTGATCTGAATTTTCCCTTTTTTTTTTTTAAGATAAAATGACACTGTGCAAACAACAACAAATTAGGAATAAAACCAGAATTAACCTCATCCAATTACTATAAATATATGCAAAGTACTTAGAATAGTGACATGGTGAAGAATTAAACCAGTGTCCAGTATTTCTTTCCTTAGAAACCATCTGCTAAGTCCTTTTTGTTTATGAGCAAACCAATCTGGTCAAGCCTACACACTTCTCAAATGGTTGTGAGGTCATTCTCTCCACATCAGGTCCTCTTTATGGTGCTCACAGCAGGTTTATGCTTAGAGCCCAGAGAAGGCATGACAATTTGAGCTTGACTGTGTCATTTTCTATGGCTAAACTTAGGCTTCTAACCCCTTTCTGCAATTACTTAATCATGTGTTATCTGTGATTGTTTTCAGTACATTATTAATGCTGAATAAATGTCTGCCTATGAGTTCGTTAGGCTTGAGAGCAGTCAGGCTACAGGTTGGAGTCCTTTGTTCTTGGTAGATCAGTCATCCGTTCTAGGACATCTTTAATATAACAACTATAATATAAAACTCCTGTTAACCTGATCAAGGGACTCACAACTACACTACTTGTCTTGGTACTCATAAATTCAGCAAACAGAACATTTAGCAATTTTGCAAACAACTCTTCAATTTCGCAGGAGGAAGTGGCCAGATCCCAGGAAGCCCAAGTTTGGAAGGTGACTATGGTATCTCATACTACACAAAAACCCAAACCCTCCCAATCCTAAAAGTCTTATAACTCAGTAGTGTGGATAAACAGGCATTAAAATCACCTTTACACAAAAACTTATGAGAAAAAAGAGACTGCTTAACGCTTGATCTCTTACCATTATTGCAGCGGGTACCAGGGCAACACATGCCGTCTCTATGGCAGCGTTTCTTTTTCCTCCGACACACCATACAGGCTGACGATCCTTGGTGGGGACTGTGACAATATCTTCCCACTTCACATTCCTTATCACTGCTGCAAGGGTAGGCCTGTCATCAGATAGGACAACACAGAAAGCAGTGGGTGAGGTCCTTGGACACTGGAAAGGCACTGAGGCAGCAAGCCTTAAGGGAAACTAAGTCATGTTTGCAGTGCCTGAATGAAATACATCATTGTGTACTTTTCTGCACAACAGTTCTTCAGGCTGACCTTTAGCTGATGACGTCTGATGGTTTACAAAGATGAAATTGGCAATAAAAGTTAAAGTGAAAAAACACCATGGAATTAACACTTCCCATGCATTTTCATGGCCACCGTTGGGTTTAGGATTTATACTTCATGCAGATAGGCACCTGCTGTAAGTGACCCTGGAGGCTCATAGAAAGGTGACTGTCATATTGCCACTAATTGCAGAACACACCAGCAGCCTCACCACTCCATTCCCTCCTGATATTGAAAGATGAAGAGAGAATAAAACAGAGAAGCGATTGGGTTCGACGTTAAAGTATGTCATTTGCCCAATCAGGGAAAAAAACACTCACAATCCCTGCTGCGAATGGTAGGGAGAGACTCTTCCAGAATGATCTGAGAAACAACTGATGTGCACACAATGCAAAAAACAACAGCAAACCTCCAAAACAAAGCAAAGGGCCCTGCCCTCGTTCCTACGTCCCCCACAGAGCAACAGCAGTATCCACATAACCAAAAGGACACCGGGCTTCAGTTACTCAGAGTTCTCAGGAAGCCCAACAAGGCTCTCATCACACCATCTCCTCTCATCATACACAGCAACCAGGCCTTCAATTTGTTCAGAAGAGACTGGTTAATAATGCATTTCTCCACCAGCAGGAAGTCCTGAAAACTTCTTGAGCTGTGTGTGAGAGTAACTCAAAAGATAAAAGTGAGATAGGGACTCCAGCCATACACAGCTTGCCTTTCGGGAGTTGGTGGAACATTTAACATGTACATGTTCTGAGACTGTGATGTCGCACAGCACACTCAGGCTTAGAAGATTGAGATAGGTCTTTTTTTTTTTTTTTCTGAAACAAACGCTAACTTTAGCTTGTGTTTGTTGGAACTCACCCTAGACAACTTTGGTCTTGAACTTTGAACTTGTGGCAATTCTTTTGCTTCTGTCTTTACATAGTGGGGTTATGAGCAAGCATGACCAGGGCTAGTCTCATTTTATTTTTCTGATTTTTAGAGAAATGCATTCATTTTCAATAACAAATGCAAACTGTAGTTTTGAAAGCTTTGGTTTTTGCTTTGAAGTTTGTATAAATGATATACGGATGAAACTGTGGATAAAATGTTTGTGTCTCTAAAATAATTATTTTGGTTTGGGTGTTTCCATTATGAAATCCCACTTGATGTTCTGACCCCACACATTGCTTATTTCCTTTCTCCTTCTGTCTCTGTCTCCTCTCTTTTCCTCTTTCTTCCTCTCCCTCTCTCACCCTCTCTCTCCTTTGCACTATATGTTTGCCGTGTGTGTCTGATCATCTTCAATTAAAAAAAGGAAGTAGAGATGAAGTTTATGTATGAGTCTGGGGGGAAGTAGATTTTATCCTTATTACAACGTCTTATTTGTTGAAGGAATAACCTTGGAAACCATTCACTTCACATGATTGCACAGTGGCCATGCATGCAGAAGATGAATTTGTATTTGTAGCCCACTTTACACATTGTCAATTTACCTTCAAGAATCTGAATGAAGCTGGATTCACGGTAGTAGATTGTTTTTCAAGAACCCAAGACTGATGAAAACAAAAGAAATGTCACTTCCCGCCTTGCCACACTCCTTCCCCCAAGCAGTTCACCATCTTCCTATTTAACCTCATTAATTTTAATTGAAACACAATTCACATGTTTCTGATTCATTTACATTCATTTCATCAAATGTTTTGCAAGAAACATTTGATGTCTTACAAGTCTTTCCTTTCTCAAAAATAGGACATGTTCTTTCAACAGAAACAAACATGTGCCATCTAAAACATCATGTGCTGTTTTCAACTCAGCAAATTCTCAAACTATTCCCAACAGAAGGAAGACTGGGTCCCATCCATAAAGAACAGACTACATTGGAGAAAAAAGTTGATTTCTAAATTTAGTTTATTTTAGAAATGTTTAGAAAAACATTAGTTTGAAGAAACAATGACACAGGCAAAGACAATATTTATGACATCTTTAGCATGAAATGTTTTAAATATTGTGTGCTTGGAACTGAATGCCCATACAAAAATTCAAGAAGGAATAATTAGAAGTGCTTGAAGTGATTTTAATAATTTTAAATAGAAATATGGCTTCTCTTCAGCTCGTAAAACTTTTGGCTATTGTAAACTCTATGAAGTAAAATATATGAACACACATACATACATATATATATATATATATTCCTGAAATATTTTCAAAAAGGGAGCATAATAAATTGAATGAAGCAAGTTTGAAGAGAAGCACGTGATATTAGGAGACAAAACTTGCTTTCAAAAATTCATGCCCCCAGCCCAGATTGACTGAGGAATAAGGCCTTTTTAGCCCGTTCATTATCAAGAAAACAAACATAAAATGGAGGTCTAATATATTAACAATACACATGCATCAGCTTTGATGCCCCGCATTTCAGTGAAGCATTCTGGACAAGGTATTTCACCATGAACATGAGGGCTCGGCCACTTGTCATCCCAGCGGTGCCTTTCTGTGCTTGATGCTCTGTTATTAAATTGTGTCACAGGACAAGAACAGGGAGAGGAAGGCAGACAGAAAAACAGGAGGCCTGAAGGACTGACGGACGTAGGAATGAATGAAAGAATGTCTGGTGAGAAAAATAGAAATAAATCAAGCAGCCATTTAGAAAATCTCACAGACATATCTTCATTTCCCTTTGACTTTGTTCTCAAAGGCTCTTACTTGGTTCCTACTTAAGGGAAGCCTTCTGGCAAACATAAAGTGAGCTTGAAAGCCTTAGCCAGAGTCTCAGTTTAATATTAATAACATGCTCACCTGGTACCTGTTTCAGAGATTTAAAAGTAAAAGGCTGATATGTTTCTTACTACAGAAATTAATAGCAGTGGATTTTTACAACTTTCTTGATATGGTCTTTAAGTGAAGTCTAGATAACGATAATACAAGGACCAGTGGGAGTTTACTAAACCAATAGTCAAGGGAGAGACCCAGAATGCAGACACCTGCATTCTCTCTCCACTAAAAACTTCCAGAACTGATTAGAAATCCCACTTTGTCAGCATTCACAACCATTTATTACCCAAACTCAGGCATGGTTAGGACGTAAATTAATTAGGGACACCTAATAAAGGGAGTGATTAGCCATAAATTAAGAATGTGTGAGAGCTGCCCAGGATCAGGCCAAAGCACTAGGGCATTCATCTTGCCCCTTTCTAGTCTAAAAATAGAGTTGTTTCTACAAATAGTTACACTGGCAATCATTATAACCATGACAGGAGCTTAAAAAAAAAAGAGTAAACACATTGAACACAGATTGAATTGAAGTCTATCAGAAACCAATATTTCTCTTTAGTACAGAGAGTTTGAAGTCAATTTCTGCTATGCTAGTTTGGAATATTTTTTTATCATTGGAGAGGGGAAAAACAGCATGTAGCTTTTAGAAATAAATAGAGACTGAGTGTCGCAAGCTTGCCTTGGCATCGGGCCGCATCCCGAGGTATCAGAAGCAAGAATGGGTCACGGTGAGGATTTTACAACCATAGAGACAGGGTTGGGTCTTGATGACCTCTGTGCTGAATACAGAAATTACAAAAGTAAACTTGTCCACATCTGTCTTATGCCAACAGCCTGTCCTGCAGCAGCTGTTGGAGGGACCGGAAACGGGAGGGAAAGGGAAGCACAGCCAAAGCTAGGACAGTTCTTGACAGCAGTTCTGACAAACTGTAGAGTGGATTTACAAGCTGAATACCACCATGCATATAATGATAAATAGAGTTCTAAGGAGCAAAGCAAAATGAAATGTACCCATTCCATCTTACTTGAAATAACTGAATCTCTTTTCCTCTCTTTACTGCCAAATGCCAAAACTTCTAGGAGAAATGGTTTCTTCATTCAGTTTTATATATAGGATTGAGTTTATTAATGTTTTGTTTTGTATTTTAAAACAATAACAACAACCACAAAAGCTCCCCATCCCTTTGAACTGTAATCACAAGATCAGTTCTCTGGGATCATGAGGAACATTGCTTCAGGTTTCTCTACAACACTGACCAATGAGTAGACCTTTGCCACAACCAAGCCTCCCACGTTCTCAAAATAATGATATTTTTCCTGTTTGATGAGGGGGGCTGGGAAGTGGAAGAGAAAGAGACAGAAACATCACTCGTTTATGTGGGATGGCTGGCCACCCATCCGGATTCTTGCAAGATCGACCTACTTTTGTTGTTGCTTCAATCTAGGCAATCCTTTGTCCCCTTGAGCACTGTTTGCAACAAGCACAGAAGTTGGCTGGAGCCAGGAAAACGTCATCAGATGGGCAGGCCGAAGACAGCCTGTGGGGGTAGAGGGCAGGGTGGGGGACAACCCAGCTGTGTGAATGAAAAACATTTGAGTGGATAGAGGGCGTGAGGGTGAAGTTAGGGACCAGAACATGTCTTGGGGCTCTACAGTCGAAGCAGAACAAGGCTGGCCATCACACTTGGGAAACCATAGCCTTTTCCTGACTCTTTAGAGAAAAGGTTAATTTCCCATGTTATGACACTCCACCTGGTAGATTTGTCTTTCCACGAGTACATAAGGTACACTACCGTGAAGGCATGCATTTCAAAACTACCCAGGAAAAATTGCACCACGGGAGTGCAGTGTGGACTCTACCCCGGTTTGGTTATGGGCAAAGCGCTCATCAGCTCCTCTGTACACTATGACCTCCAGGCACGCACCTTTGAGGACTCACGGGTCATGCTGGGAGGAATGAGCTATATTAAATTTGAGAGAGTTCAGATTCTCATGGTGTGCAGGATATGAATGTTTGGGTCCTTTAAAGCAGAGGTTTGGCTATGTGCTCAGCAATCAGTTTATTGCTGAGCCC